ACTAGTGATAAAGAACCTTCCTGCCAATGCAGGAGATGTTAAGAGATGCTGGTTCGGTCTCTGGGTCAGGAAGACCCCCTGCCGGAGGAGGGCATGGCAGCCCGTTCCAGTATTCCTGCCTGGAGAATCTTATGGACAGAGGAGCCTGGACGGCTATGGTCCATAGCGTTGCAACGAGTCGGACACAACTGAAGCGACTTAGCACACACACACACACACATTGTCCCTCTCACTGCCCTCCGTGTCCCAGCCATGGTGCTCACTGCATCAGGGCCTGGTGAGGACCTGGAACGTCAGATACCTCCAGGTGAAGGAAGGCTTCCTGGAGGAAGTGCCAGTTAAACTGTGACCTGCTGATGAGCAGGTATTGGCCAGGCCAGGAGGAAGGGAGAAGGAGGGCATTCCAGGCTGGGGGAACAGCATGTGCAAAGGCTGAGAGGCCAGGGACTGAAAGCTTAATCAGGCTGAGGGTAGAGCTGGTCTCAGGCCACACGTTCCAACCCCTCCCTGGAGGATGTGTCCCAGCTGCCCCTTCGGCTCTTGGCAGGATGAGGCCGTGGAACGCTGCAACCGCCCAGAGCCACCGCGAGAGCACTTTGGACAGAGGATCCTGGTCAAGTGTCTGTCGCTTAAGTGAGTGTGCTGATCCGTCCCTCCCTTCAGGCACACAAGGGGGACCATGGGGGATTACGGTGAGGCACACAGTCGGCGCTCACTGTGGGAGCCATGCCATTACTGTGTGCAGCCCTGAGACCATGAGGACCCCCATAGACTTTCAGGCTGAGAAACAAGACTTCTTTCATTATTCAAAGTTCCAGTTGTGTGCCAGCCTCAGTTCTCAGCCCTCCATGTTTACTTTTTCTTTCTATATTTATGTGTGTGTGTATTTTTTACTTAAAATTTTAAAATTTATTTTAATTTTTAAAAAGATTTTGCTGTGCCGGGTCTTCGTTGCTGCACTGGCTTTTCTCTAGTTATGGTGGGCAGGGGCTACCCTCTAGTTGAAGTGCATGGGCTTCTCATTGTGGTGGCGTCTCATGTTGCAGAGCATGAGCTCTAGGTGCCCAGGCTTCAGTAGTTACAGTACTTGGGCTCAGGAGTTGTGGTGCACAGGCTTAGATGCTCCAGGATGTCACCGTAGTAGAGATCAAACCTGTGTCTCCTGCACTGGCAAGCGGATTCTTTACCACTTAGCCACCAGGGAAGCCCTCCACATGTATTATCTCTGACTTCACCACAACATCACCTTGTGGGTGTGGGTGGGAAACTGAGGCACAGGGAGGTGAAGTCATTGTGCCCAAGATCACAGTGACTTGTGAGGCCAGAGTCCGGCCCTTGCCCAGTCTGCAGCTGGCACCCAGGCTAGAGGGGGCACTGGTGACCCTGGACCTGGCTTCCCGCCGCCACAGCCCCCTCCACATTGGCCCTGGGGAGCAGCCAGAGTGCGTGGGAATGGAGTGGAACAGGATGTGGCCTTGGACCCAAGCCCAGCCCGGCCCCTCCCCACCCTGAGTTCCTGCCTGGATGGGGGCAGGAAAGGGAGGCCCCATCTGGCCTGAGGCCGTCGTGGGCCGCCTGCCTCCAACACACAGGCTGGGAACCAGCTCTGTAGGCTCATTCAGTCATTCAACCAACAGTGAGCATCTACTGTATGCAAGCTGTGTAACTGGGATGACCACATGGGGCTCTCTAGGTGGGGGACACAACATACACAAAGGTCTGGAGAAAGGGAAAATGAGGCCAAGAGGTGGGTGGGTTTGGTCCACACAGGGCAGTGGTGAGCCTCAAATTTTGTTTTTGTTTTTTTTTTTTAATTTCTTTTTGGCTATGCTGGGTCTTTGTTGCTGTGCCCTGGCTTTTTCTAGTAGCATCACATGGGGGCTGCTCTCCAGTCATGTGCTCAGACTTCTCATTTCGGTGGCTTCTCTTGTTGTGAAGCATGGACTCTAGAGTGTGGGCTCAGTAGTCGTGGTGCACGGGCTTAGTTGCCCCGTGGCATGTGGAATCTTCCCAGACCAGGGATTGAACCTGTGTTACCTGCATTGGCAGGCGGATTCTTACCCACTGGGCCACCAGGACAGTCCTCAGTTTCCCCTTTTGCAAAATGGGACAGGTCTTTCCTACAAGTCCTTAAATGGTGCTTCTGTGCGACCCAGTGGGAATCAGATGCCCTTCCCCACCGCCAGTGCACCAAGGCTGGGCTGGACTTCGAGAGAGAGAGGGTATATGGAGATGGGAGGGTCAAGGTCAGCCGCTGCCAGAGAGCCCTCACTCATTGCAGGTTCGAGATTGAAATTGAGCCCATCTTTGGCATCTTGGCCCTCTACGATGTGCGGGAGAAAAAGAAGGTAGGAGCCCCTTTCTTCCCCTTCCTCCCACCCGCTCCTCTTCCTTGCTGCAGGGTGATGGTTTTCCTCGAGGTGGTGGCTCAGCTGTTTCTTGTGCCCCTAGATCTCAGAGAACTTCTACTTTGACCTGAACTCGGACTCCATGAAGGGCCTACTGCGGGCCCACGTCACCCATCCTGCCATCTCGACCCTGGCCCGCTCTGCCATCTTCTCTGTGACCTACCCCTCGCCTGACATCTTCTTGGTCATCAAGGTATACTGACTGGGGCTGGCAAGGGGGTGATCATGGTGAAGGCCACAGGTGAGGTCCCTGCTCTCATAGAAGACATGTCACCAAGAATGGTGATCAGGGGTGTCATGGGGGAAGCCAGAGGGGAAGCCAGAGAGGAAGCCTGAGCCCACGGGGAGCTTCTGAGCGAACCCAGGTGGGGAGAAATCAGCAAGGGCTTCTTGGAGAGGTGACAGCTGAGCTGACACCCATGAGTGGGCAACCTGGGGAGAAGTGGCATCCTGGCACATGTGGGTAGACTTTAAAAAAAATTTTTTTTTTGGTTAAGAGTTTTTCAGTTTATTAGGAGTGGAAAAACTTAATTGGCACGTGGTTTGGGATTTTGNAAACTTAGTTGGCACATGGTTTGGGATTTTGTTTCCAGGAGTGAGCTCAAATTTCCTTTCCCAAAACGTTCAATTAGTTTTTGATCAATTAGTTAATGACATTAATTGGACACCTTCAGGCAGGCACTGCTTCCCATCAGTCAGGCTTCACAAATATTCTGGCCTTTGATCCTCCCAGCCCAGGGAGATGGGGGTTGCCATGGGGCCCATTTTACAGATGGGGAAGCTGAGGCACAAAATCCAGAAAGAATGTGCTCAAGGTCCCACAGCCCCCAAGTGGTCAGGATTGGAGTCCAGGCCCAGAGCTGTACTTGGAGTGGACTTTGCTTATACTAAGAAATAAAGATGTGAATGTGGGAGGAACAATGGAGTCTTGGGCTTGGGGGCGGGGCTTAAATGGTGGGGCGGGGCAGTTAGTTATGCAGGCTGACAGCTAGCACTCAGTCTAGGGGATAGTGGGAGCCATGGGAGGTGTCGGAGCGAGAACCCTAGCTGGGTGGAATGTTTGGGAGACGGTGAAGGTCAGAGAGGCTGGGATTGAGGTGGGGAGGTTGGGGTCCAGGCAGCACCTCAGTGGGCCTGCCCGCCCCTCAGCTGGAGAAGGTGCTGCAGCAGGGAGACATTAGCGAGTGCTGCGAGCCGTACATGGTGATGAAGGAGGTGGACACAGCCAAGGTGAGCGTGGGAGGCTGGGCCAAGTGTTGAAGGGGTCCCCCCGCAGAGCAGATCCTGATTCAGCAGGCCTGGGACACTGAGCCTGTGGGGTGTGTGTGTCGGGGGTCTCCCCCCAGAACAAAGAGAAACTGGAGAAGCTGCGCATGGCGGCTGAGCAGTTCTGCACCCGTCTGGGCCGCTATCGCATGCCCTTCGCCTGGACAGCGGTGCACCTGGCCAACATCGTGAGCAGCGCCGGCCAGCCAGACCGGGACTCGGACTCAGAGGGCGGTGAGGAGGCGGGGCTTATGGGCCAGGGGCGGAGCTACCAGGGTGGGGAAGGGGCGCCCTCTGCTGGCCCGACCAGGTACCAGGCCTGAGTCTGCAGTGTCTTGGCTCCCCGCACCCTTCATTTCCGTCCCTTTCCATCACTCTCTCCCCTAGAGCGCCGACCTGCCTGGACTGACCGCCGCCGTCGGGGACCCCAGGACCGGACGAGTAGTGGGGATGACACCTGCAGCTTCTCTGGCTTCCGCCCAGCCACACTAACCGTCACCAACTTCTTTAAGCAGGTGTCATGGCTGGGGGCTGGGGGCAGGGGGCTGAGAGAGGGGGACCCCACACACATCCCCATTTCCCTTTTGCGGCCGCACGATCCCCGGGGATCCCCAAACCCCTCAGCCCTGGTTCACTGGGGTGGGTTCGTGCAGGAGGCTGAGCGGCTCAGTGACGAGGACCTCTTCAAGTTCCTGGCTGACATGCGGCGCCCGACATCCCTGTTGCGACGCCTGCGTCCCGTGACGGGTGCGTGGTGCGCCCCGAACATGAGACGTGTCACTCATGTGGTCACTCAAACCCACATCTGCTGTGCCACGTCCTGGTGGCCATGATAAACAAAGCCCCGACTTCAGGGGTGGACCTTCCAGTGGGGGCCAGAGAGGAGAAACAGAATAAATAAGACAGGTAGTGGGTCAAACGGGGAATGTGGGCAGAGCTGATAAAAGACGCAGGGCAGCAACAGGAGTTGAGGGTGACTTCCCGCCATAGCTCCTGAAAGATGGAGCCACCAGAGGGCATTGTGGGAGAGACGGAGCCCTGACCCGGTGGCGGAGGGGCACCCGGGCCTGAGCTCTTAGTGTGTGGGCTGGACGGGGCGGGCAGGGGGCCCAGCTGGAGACTCCCAGGAAGGTGCAAACTGACTCCCCCTCCCCAGCCCAGCTCAAGATCGACATTTCCCCGGCCCCTGAGAACCCCCACTTCTGCCTCTCCCCGGAGCTGCTTCATGTCAAGCCCTACCCAGACCCCAGGGGCCGGCCCACCAAGGAGATCCTGGAGTTCCCTGCCCGTGAGGTCTATGCCCCCCACACCAGCTACAGGTACACCCTCTGGGGCAGCCGGGCACTTGAATATGGGAGGCATCACATGGAATGAGGTCTGCTTCCCCTCCGACACGTACAGACGCTGGCCTGAGATGCCACTGCTCTGCTTTAATAGGGAATGTATGCGCATGACGGGGCATGTCCTTCCTCCACACCTCCTTGACCGTCCATGTTCTCTGCCTGTGTCCCCGCCTGCTTCCCTCTCTACTCCATGACTGGAAGCGGGGCCCAGCGCCCTGGCCGACCTTAGTGGATGGGCAGCTCCTCCCTGTGCAGGGGCCGCATGGGGCAGGGCTGTGTCCCTCGGTGCATGACTGGTCCTCAGTTCTGCCCAGGCTCAGGCTCAGGCTGGGAGCGCAGCCATGTGGAGTCTGGGAGGGAGGGGGGGGCTTAGCCAAGGCACAGGGATACCCCCATTCCGCTGCCCTCGCATACCTAGACCCCCGCCAGGCTCACCTCTCCTGAATCTGTCTCAGCCGCTGCTGCTGTACCATCATCTGCTGCTTCTGTCGCTGCACATGACCCGTGAGGACCCACACGATGTGGCTCTGCTCATCAGCATGGGCCTGTGGGTCAGGACAGAACCCTCAGCTGTGGGCCCCCCTCACCTCCTATCCCTGGACTCTGCCCAGATTCCCCCGCTTCCCACTGTATCTGTGTGATCTGGCAAGCCACTGCCTCTCCTTGGCCTCAACTTTCCTAGCTGTAAAATGGGGATGAAATAGGAGTCCCTCTATGGGATTGCTCTGAGCCTGATAGAAATTGTGATGATTTAGTTGCTAAGTTGTGTTTGACTCTTGCAACCCGATGGACCGTAGTCCACCAGGCTCCTCTGTCCGTGGGATTTTCAGGCAAGAATACTAGAGTGGGTTGCCATTTCCTTCTCCAGGGGATCTTGCTGACCCAGGAATCGAACCTGTGTCTCCTGCATCACAAGTGGATTCTTTACCACTGAGCTACCAAGGAAGCCCATGATAGAGATTATTAGAGGGTATAAAACAGTCCTGGGTACATCATGGGTGCTCCAGAAACACTTTGCTAATATGCATTTATTGCATAACTACTATGTGCCCCATCCCAGGTTGAGGATTTTATCTGCACTGAGTCCCTGGCTCTATTTTGAGACATCAGTTGTTGTTCTTATTTACAAATAAGGCAACTGAGGTGTGGGAAGGCACGTGGCTTTTGCCCAGGGTCACATAGCATAGAGGCCAGGGTACCAGAAGGCTTAACTGGGTCTGGGGAGTCTCTGGGATAGAAGGTTCAGAAATGAGGTCTGACTGAATTGAAGTTGATTCCCCCAGGGCCAGGAACCCCTTACCTTTAAGTCCTTGAATTCTTGGTGGGCATGGCCCAGCCACACGCCCTTCAGCTGGACTTCTAGCCGCTTCATTTTCTCCCTCAGCACCTGCTGTCCCTGGGCCACCTCACCCAGCGCCTGGGCTATGGCCTCTGCTTGCAGCTTGAGACCATCCTCTTCTATCTACCAATAGACAGTGGATGTTAGTAGGATGACCTACTGAGATCAGCCTGATTTTAACACTGGAAATCCTATATTCCAGGAACCCCCTCACTCCTGGCGAAACCCCAACGGTCAGCCCAGGCATAACTCCACCATAGACTCCTACCCACCCCACAACACCCCAACTGTAGTGCCCACCTGCATCTCTAACAGACTCGCACGTAGCTCTTGAGCTGCATCCTGGCCCTGGCTGATCTCCTTCCCCAGGAACCCCAGCGCCTGGCCATAGAGGCTCAGGCTGTTCCCGGCCTTTGTCATCTGTGCTTCTGTGGCCTTGTACACGCCGTTGAGAGCCTGGCTCAGCTGCAGGGCCCCGTGGAAGAGCAGGGTCAGCTCCTCCTGCTGCGCTGGCTCCGAGCCACTCATGGAACCCGCCAGTGCCGGCTGAACCGCTGTTGCCAGGGCACACAGCAGGCACAGCATGAGCACAGGCATGGCTGGAGGGCTGGGGAAGGTGTGGCCACAGCCCCAGTGGGGCTGCCTTTTATGCCTTAACACCCCCCCCTTAACTTCAGGTCAGTCATTAACCAGCCAGCTGGGTGCCCCGTGTTGTGCAAGGGCCTGGAGGTGGCACCACAGTTGCATCAGGTGGATGTCCAGCCAGCCACGCCGGAATCACGCTGGCTAGGGCTTGGGGCCAGGTGTGGGCTGGGGCACTGGTGAGAGGATAGGCCCAGGCCTGGCTGGAGAACCCTACGGCTCATAGCCACCGTTTCCCCTCTGTGGATGGGCGTGACAACAGTAACAGCAGTAACAGTGAGGCTTTTATGATCGCCAGTGGTTCACCCAGAGCTACCCCACTGCTATTACACAGTAGCTGGTCTCATAACCTTCTCACAAGCCTGCAATGCCCAAGTCTTTGTTGACCTGGTTAAGAGCTAGGGGAGCAGGTAGTGGAGATCTTTCAAGGCCACACAGCCTGACTCCAGGACCTCCACGTGCCCTGGATCAATGCTCACTGCTGTTTTTCTCCCTGGATGACTGTGGGCAAATGCTTCTGTTTCCCTGCCTGTGACTGTGAAATGGGGGATGATGTGAGGTCCCCCCGCCCAGTAGGCTGCTCATTTATTTCTATAAATGAGTCGTTTCATGTCAGGTGCTTAGAACAGAGCCCAACACACAGTTGACCCCACATTAGTGTTTGGTGCAATTATTGACATTATTGTTGCTTAATATTGATATGACAAAGGCTCAGCTGGGAGGCTTGATGCCCTCATTATATAGTTAGGGAAATGGAGACCCAGGGGGCTGCTGGGGCTTGTACAAGCTTACTCTGGAGGAGGGAGGCAGAACCCTGACCTCAGCCCAGCTCTTGCCTCCAACTAGCCTCCGTCTCCCCAGCTGAGAGGCCATATAACTCTAGTGACCTCTTCTGGGGAAAGGGGCAGTCAGGCTCCTGTGCTGGATGATGGGCAGGTCAGTCTGGGCGGCGCTCAGGCTTGATGCTGGCTGCCTGGGCCACCTTCCTGGAAGCCTGGCCCTGAGCACCCATGTGTCTCCTCTACCTCCCCATGCCCCCGCAGTGACCCTGAAGTCCGTCTGCATTCCCACCCTCTGTCACTCTGTTCCCCCATCTGTGCTCTGAATGGTACCCGTCTATTCCCCGCTCTCTGCACTCACATCTCCCGCCTGTGGCCCGTCACTGTCCCTGACCCAGCCCTCAGTGTCCCAGCGGGGTGGCCACTGTCCCCAGGCTCTCCGTCCCTCTGACGTGGACGTGCCCCTGCCCCCCAGGAGCCTGCTGTATGTGTACCCGCACAGCCTCAACTTCGGCAGCCGCCAGGGCTCCGTGCGCAACCTCACCGTGCGAGTGCAGTACATGGCAGGCGAGGACCCCAGCCAGGCCCTGCCGGTCAGTGGCTGGACCCAGGGCGGGTGGACGGAAGCGGGGGTGGGGGGCTGGTCCCCAGCCAGTCCCTCGTGCCTTTGCTCCCCGCAGGTCATCTTTGGCAAGTCCAGCTGCAGTGAGTTTACCCGGGAAGCCTTCACACCGGTGGTCTACCATAACAAGTATGTGGGCTGGGGTGGGGGACTGGTGGGGATACGGATGGGCAGGAAGAGGGGTGGGGGGATGGGCAGGCTCTTGGAGTGCAAATGGGGGAACCTGAGGCAGACAGCAGGGACAGCGGGGCCCGGCAGAAGGGGTGGGACAGGCAAGGGGGAGCCCAGTCCCCAGCAGAACCCCCAGCCCGGCCCCGCCAGGTCTCCTGAGTTCTACGAGGAGTTCAAGCTGCGTCTTCCTGCCTGCGTGACTGAGAACCACCACCTGCTCTTCACCTTCTACCATGTCAGCTGCCAGCCCCGGCCTGGCACGGCCCTGGAGACTCCTGTGGGCTTTACTGTGAGCCCCCCGCCGCCTCTCCCCCATCCACGCCCAGACCTCCCAGCCCTTGTCCGGCCCCACATCTGACCCCCAGTCTCTCCCCAGTGGATCCCACTGCTGCAGCATGGCCGCCTGAGGACAGGCCCCTTCTGCCTCCCCGTGTCGGTAGACCAGCCCCCGCCCAGCTACTCCGTGCTGACACCGGATGTACGTGCCCCGGACCCCCTGCCAACCAGCACCGGGCCCAGGAACCCCCGTCACGCCCTGCTTTCCTTCCTGCAGCAGCCCTGGGCACCTTTTCCTCTGTTGAGGCCTCATCACACCCACCCGTTGTTAATCCTGTGTGTCCCCCTGCCCCAGGGTGTCCCTCCCTGCTGTGGGGTGTCCCTCCCTTGAGAATGCCCCCCACCTGTGCACGCACTGGTCCCCACTAAGACCCCACTGCCTCACCGCTTCTGGCCCCTGTTTGTAGCCCTGCCTGCCTGATCACTCTCCCCGGAGCACGCTCTCCCCATGGGAATGCTGTGTCAACCTCCCACAAACCCTTTCATTTGCACCCGGGTCCTCTCATGCTGTTTTCTGTTCAGTCCCTCCAATAACATTCATCCTCAGTTTCCCTTCTCCTATGAGCGTCCTGGGCATCCCTGAGCCTGCCCAGTGGACCCCCGTTAGTGCTCCCCACAATCCACCCCCATCTCTGGGCTGGGCTTCGGCGCCAGGGGCAAGGTGTCCAGCTGTTCCCCCAGGCAGGGCCACAGTCAGGCCAGTGTCGCAATGGCTGAGGCTGGTGGCCTGAGCCGTGGTGGGGGAGGGCGGGCCAGTGCCCACCTGGTGTGTCCCTCCCGCAGGTGGCGCTGCCGGGCATGCGCTGGGTGGATGGCCACAAGGGCGTGTTCAGCGTGGAGCTCACAGCTGTGTCCTCTGTGCATCCCCAGGTAGGGGGCGGGCTATAACCCAGGAGTCTGGCCCTGGGGTTGGGCAACAGTTTTCCTCTGTCCTGGGAGGCCTGGCATTGGGCCATGGACGTGACTTTGGTCAGCAAGGCTGGCTCCCAGGGAAGCTGCTGACTCAGACGGGGTGGCCATGCCAATGGCCATCACAGCTGGAGCTTTGGCCTTTTTTGCATGGTCTCTCCTCTTCCCCCTGCCCCCGGTTTGTCCCTTGCTGTGTCTGTAATCGCTCCTGTCTTTTTCTTTTTTTTTTTTAATTTTATTTATCAATATTTATCTATTTATTTATTTTTGGCTGTGTGGTCTTCGTTGCTGCATACACTTTCTCTAGTTGCGGTGAGTGGGGGCTACTCCCTAGTTATGGTGCGTGGGCTTCTCATTGCGGTGGCTTCTCTTGTGGAGTGCAGGCTCTCGGGCACACGGGTTTCAGTAGTTGCAGTGTGTGGGCTTCAGTAGTTGGGGCACGTGGGCTCTAGAGCCTGGGCTCAGTAATTGTGGTGCCCAGGCTTAGTTGCTCCACGGGCATGTGAGATCTTCTCGGGCCAGGGTTCGAATCCACATCCCCAGCATTGGCAAGTGGATTCTTAGCTATTGGACCACCAGGGAAGTTCCCTCCCCATTTCTTTTCCATTCCTTGGTCTCCAGCCTCAGTGTCTAGACCCACTCAGTCTCCCGCTCAGACCCCAGGTCATACCCTGTTCACCCCGGTCCTTCCCTGTTCCTACCCCGCTTACCCCTGGTCCCCCACCAGGACCCCCACCTGGACAAGTTCTTCACCCTCGTGCACGTCCTGGAGGAGGGGGCCTTTCCGTTCCGGCTGAAGGATGCTGTGCTGAGCGAGGGCACCGTGGAGCAGGAGCTGCGGGGCAGCTTGGCGGCCCTGCGCCTCGCCAGCCCCGAGCCCCTTGTCGCCTTCTCCCACCACGTACTGGACAAGCTCGTTCGTCTGGTTGTGCGACCCCCGGTCATTGGTGGCCAGATTGGTGAGCTGTCACAGCCTCAGACTTTAGTTTCCCCATCTAGAGAATGGGCCCAGTGTCTAGTGGTGACCTCCCATAGCCCATTTATCTCTCTGGTCTCAACTTTCCAATCTGAAAAATGGCCCCTCAGCCCCCTAGTCCCCTGACCTTTTGAAGACCACATGACCCCCTTGGACCCTGAAGTAGGAGCTTGGAACTAAACCTGTGCTCTGTCCGGCAGTGAACCTGGGTCGTGGCGCCTTTGAAGCTATGGCCCATGTGGTCAGCCTCGTCCACCGGAGCCTAGAGGGTGCCCAGGACACCCGTGGTCACTGCCCACTGCTGGCTGCATATGTCTACTATGCCTTTCGACTGCCTGGCACGGAGCCCAGCCTCCCGGGTGGTGAGTGTTGGTGGGAGATTCTGGGGCGCAGGAAATACCTGGGAGGGAAGCATCCTAAGCAAAGGGAAGGCGTGTGCAAAGGTCCTGAGGCTGTACAGGCGTTGGTTGCTTTATGCAATTTATAGGAGAGCAGGAGAGAGAGAACTTTGTGCCCCAGCCCCAGGGCTGCGGTCTCTGTAAATTTTATTCACAAGTGATTCAGCCAGTCAGCAAGCAGGGACTGGAGCAGAGCTGCCTGGGTTTGACTCTCAGTTCTGCCTATAAGCTCTGTGACCTCAGGCAATGACTTTACCTCTCTTGGCTTGTTTTCCTACCTTTTAAACAGATAATAGTACCGCCTCTCTTGTGGAAAGTGAAAGTGTTAGTCACTCAGTGACCCCATGGATTGTAGCTCACCAGGCTCCTCTGTCCCTGGGAGTCTCCCGGCAAGAATAGTGGAGTGGGTTGCCATTTCTTTCTCCAGGGGATCTCCCTGACCCAGGAATTGAACCCAGGTCTCCTGCATTGCAGGCAGATTCTATACCATCTGAGCCCCTAGGGAAGTCCAAATGGCATAGTAATCCATGTGAAATACTTGGCACAGTGAACACTCAATAAAGTTAGATATTTTCTTTCTTTTTTTTTTTTTAAAGTTGGATATTTTCATTTGCTAAATAATTAATAATAACCAGTAACCCCTCTGGACACATACAATATGCCGAGCACTCAGTGTTTTTCATCCTTCTCAAAATTGCTATGAGGCAGAGCCACTATTACACCCACTTTATGGGTGAGGAACCTAGAGGTTTAGAGGCAGAAGGTGACTTTGGGGACTTCCCTGGAGGTCCAGTGGTTAAGACTCTGTGCTTCCACTGCAGGGGATGTGGGTTCAATCCCTGGTCGGGGAACTAGGATCCTTCATACTGCATGATGCAGCCAAAAGAAAAACCCTGTAACAAAAAAAGAAAGTGACTTACCAAGAGCATCCAACTGGGAAGGGACAGGAGGTCATCAGGGCAGGTGGGCAGGGGGCTGAACATATTCCTTCCATCCTCAGGGGCCCCTCCAGTGACGGTGCAGCCTGCCACGCTGGCCCGTGGCCCTGGCCGCCCTGCCAGCCTCTACCTGGCACGCTCTAAGAGCATCAGCAGCAGCAACCCCGACCTGGCCGTGGCCCCTGGCTCTGTGGATGATGAGGTCTCCCGCATCCTGGCCAGCAAGGTAGACGAGGGGCCCCCACTGGGGCCAGCCTCAGTGGTCATGGCCGCTGTGTGGGTGGGTGAAAGATCTCAGTGTTGGTGGAAAACAGGGAATGACAACCAACAGCACAGATGAAGACTTGACCCTGGGGGATTCCCTGGCGGTCCAGTGGGTAGGACTCCGCACTTTCACTGCCAAGGGTGTGGGTTCAGTCCCCGGTTGGGGAGCTAAGATCCCACAAGCCACGCGTGTGTGTGTGTGCTGAGTCGCTTCAGTTGTGTCCAGCTCTTTGTGACCCAGTGGACCTTAGCCTGCCTGGCTCCTCTGTCCATGGGATTCTTCAGGCAAGAATATTGGAGTGGTTGCTATTTTCTTCACACAAGCCACCCAGAATGGAAAAGAAAAAAAAACTTGACCCTGGACAGCGGGGCTGGGCTCTGGCTGTTAGTTCGGGAGCTGTGACTTGGATTCTGAGGCTGACCCAAGGATGGGTGACTGGAGCTTGAAAAAAAAGCGTGTATGTAGCGCAGTGGAGTGTTTCCACATGTGCCACATGCATGTATCTACGGGGGGCGCCCATGTGCACATTGCTCACGCACATTGGAACACGGTTGTGTGTAGTCGTGTGTTCCATGCACAGACTTGTGGGAGGCATATACACACATATCTTGTGTGTGTTTTGTACACATGTATTGCAGGGTCACATGTATTGTGGGTGTCCACGTGGGCACATGTGTGGCCCAGGGCAGTGAGCACGCTCCGTGTTTGTCGCTGGTTTCCCTGCCCTCTGCCCACAGACACTACCACTTACCCGTGTATCTCCAGGGTATCGACCGCTCACACTCCTGGGTGAATGCTGCTTATGCTCCGGGAGGCAGCAAGGCTGTACTGCGACGGGCCCCCC